CCTTGGAAGCCCCAGAGTCACATACAGTCACATTGCCTGCAAGGCCTTTTGTCAGTGGTTTTATTCCACTCAGCGAGGGTCATGCTCTGCAAAGAAAAATAGTGCCATCGAGGTGCTTTCTGAAAATTAGCTGAGTCCTATACCAAAAGTGATTTCTTAGTGTCAATTGGTCCAAATTACCCTTGACTCTCTTTACCCCTTCCAAAGTTACAGAAAACTGGCAAGGTTGCCAAAATACTAAGTAGAGGCAAACTTAGACCTTTTCGTTTTTACTTAGATCAGAGTTTCTCAGCCTTGGCCCTGTTGACATTTAGCGCTGGATAATTCTTGTCGAGGGGCTGTCCTGTGTATTGTAGGATGTTTAGCAGCATCCCTAGGCTCTACCTATTAGGTGCCAGTAGCATTCCCCCCCACACCTGTGACAACTAAAAATGTCTCCAGACATTGCCAGATGTCCCTGGCTGGAGACAGGGGGTACAAGATTGCCCTAGTTTGAAAAAAAAAAAAAATTGATTTGGAGAAAAGAGATAATCGTGGACACCATTGATCTGTCATCATCACTTCCATTCTTTAAAAAAACTTACAAGGAAAGAATTGGCTTGCATACACTTGAAGATGATTAGGTAGTGAATGAAAAGCCACTTATCTCTTAGGGAATAGCATAGCCATAAAATGTCTTTCTACTGCAGAAATACAAGGCTAGGTAATTTCAGGAAAGTCAAGGCTCCAACCTTCAGTTCCCCTGGAGCCTATGTTCTCCAGCTGCGGAGAGGAGGGGTAGTATCCTGCCCTACCCTAGATGAGTGAGGCTGCCTCTGTGGCTGAACACACATTCCTACCTGACCAAAGCATTAGGCAGTTCCCAGGGGCAAATACCCACGACTGTCACTCTGGCCCACAGTAAGTGCTCAATATATTTGTTGTGTGCATGAATGAATGAATAGTCTGAAAAGTACAGGAATGCAGGCTGCCTCTGAAGCCCCTGTGGTGCCCCCTGGTTGGTCCGGCCAGGAGGGCTGTCAGATCCCCACGTGTAGTCTCTGCCCTATAGACCCCACCACTCCCAGGAGAAGCCCCTGTCAGGGGTTGTGGATGGGGGCTCTGGCTGGAGCCAGTGCCCAGGCCTCCTCCCAGGAGGTCTATGAGCTCTTCTCTCCTCTTTACAGAAAACCGGCCGATCATGAAGAGCCTGACGTTGCCAGCCCTCTCCCTGCCCATGAAGTTGGTGAGTCTGGAGGAAGCTCAGGCCCGGAGCCTAGCTACTAATCACCCTGCCCGGAAGGAAAGGAGAGAGAATAGCCTGCCTGAGATTGTCCCTCCCATGGGCACCCTCTTCCACACTGTCCTTGAGTTACCAGACAACAAGTAAGTGCCCTTCTTCCAAGTTCTGGGAGATGTTTAGGTGGAGGGGGACGGAGGAGGAAGCCATAGAGTCTCAGGTCTGTGATGGCAGCATGGGCTGGGGGTGTGGTCTGGGTTGGGGGGTAAGGAAGCATTCCAGAAGAGAAGGGAGCTGCCTCCACGACATTCACCAGCGGCTGATGCCTTCACTCACTGCCCCAGAGTCATCAAGACCTTGAGCTCCCACCAGAGATCCCTAGTACCATGGTGTGGGTGGGGCTCATAAGTGTCAAGAATCAGAACTAAAACCCTTTACTCCTTAGCTGAGACAAAATAAGCTTGACATTTTCAAAAGGAAGGTTGCAAAACACAAAAGCTTGACCCCCTCCTCCCACCCTAAACCTCCCACGGGACATATGGAAGGAGTAAGGATGAGCGGAGGGCAAGTTGACGGAGAGCACCACTCTGGACTGAGACCTCTGGGAACATGGCACCTGGGGACCCGCATCCTGACTTCTGTCCCTCCTCTCTTACCTGTTAGAGCCCTCCCTCCCCTCCAAAAACAAACACCATTCTCATTCATATCGTCCCTCCCTTCTCCTTCTCACTTACGCTGTGGTAACCCTGGTCTCCCCACACCCCTCTCCCACCCCCACGCCCCACTGTAAAAAGGAGGCAGTGACGGAAGCAGGGGTCCGAAATCCTAGGCAGACAGTAGGTAAAGGAGCCGAAAGGCAATCTTTTCACTGGAGAGTGTCCGCCTCGCTGTTTGGTCAGTGAAAGGAGGTATGAAAACAGACCTCTCAGACCTCTTATCAGCATCCTCCTCACGATGGCGAGGCTGTTTCCCCCTGGGGAGGGAGAAAGAGTGCTGCCGCGTTGCACAGGGGTAGAGGGCGCCTGTCACACTGTGTGCTCTGAGAAGGGCACCTGGAACTCACCTGGCGAGAAACCCCTCTACTTCCTGAAGTGCATGGATGGTTCTCTCTCTCTCTCTCTCTCTCTCTCTCTCTCTCTCTCTCTCTCTCTCCCTCTGTTTCGAAAGACTGATCCCCACTGCCCCTCCCCTTAAATCCCTGGAGAATAAGACTTCCACCCAGGGGTCAGGAAGACTTCCTCTGAAGGACCATCAAGTTCACTTTCTCTGTGCCTTCATACCATACCTCAAGGTATGTGATTATGTAAAATCCACCCCAAGGCCTAGTGCTTGAAAACATCAGGCCAGATCCAATACAAACCACTAAGCACTGCAGATCTGTCTCTGATGGATTGTAAAATCATGCTGTGCTTGAGACCTGGATGTTCTATGAGAACCCTGCAGAGAAAAGGTCCTCTGTGGGGCCCACAGGTTGCAGGGTCTCATCCTGGAACTTTATGAAGTCTGATAGCAAGGCCGGCTAGAGCCAGGCAAGGCCTCTGTGATGAACCCTGGTGGCACCAGGCCCTCTGGCCCAGTCTAGCACTCAAATTTCCCTGCTTCATCAGAGAAATGAGAGACAAAGCCAGAAACACAGTGACTACCCTCTGCCTTTCTCTGCAGTGACCACTGACCACACCCAGCAGCCTGCAACTCTCCCAGGCCAGGCTCTCTTCTAAGTTGCTTTCTCATCCACCCCCTTTCCAGTCCACTAAAGTCTACCCCAGCCCCCTCCTCGCCTGTGGATGTCCCAGCAGTGTGGCTGCAGTGCAAGGAGCATAACAGGACTGAGGTCTCTGGCCTTCAGTGTTTACTCCTGTAAAAAAATAAGTATCTTTGATAACCCAGGACTGAACTGCTTGCCAGAACTCCCAGAACTGTGGTTGCTTGTGACCTCTGAGTCTGCCACCGACCCGTCTCTGTTTGCCCCCTCCCCTGCCTGTAATAACACATCTTTGTCCCTTCCTCTGCGGAATGTGGTCTTTCACTCTGACTCATGAAAACCTAGCTTGGTCATCATGGGCATCCCCAGACAGGGTGAGAGTCAGGCTCAACTTGGATTTTAGAGAGAAATTTCCTGATATGTCAGAGCTGTTCATAACTAAGAACATGTCTGGGGTATTCCTTTTAGTTTAAAAGTTCCACTGAAATAGCTAGTTACCAAACTAACCCCCTGTGGCTTGGCTCCTTTAGAAGAAAGCTCTCCAGTAAATCAAAGAAGTGGAAATCAATATTTAACCTGGGACGTTCTGGATCAGACTCTAAATCAAAGCTGAGTAGAAATGGGAGTGTATTTGTGAGAGGACAGAGGCTCTCAGGTAAGAATCAATAGCAGTTATGTTTATAAGATACATATATATATTTTTTTCAGTTCTGTTTCTTAAGTGTTTGGTTTGATTATGTCAAACTCACTAACCCTGAAAGAGACACTTATAAATTAACTGGAGTCTTTTTGGTTTTTTTAAATAATTTTAGATTTACAAGAAATTTGCAAAAATAGTACACAGAGAACCCATAGACCCTTCACACAGCTCCCCCAAATGTTAACATATTAGATAACTGTAATACAATGATCAAAACCAGAAAATTAATATCAATATAATACTATTAGATAATTTCCAGATGTTATTCATATTTAGCCAGTTGTCCCTCTGATGTACTTTTTCTGGTTCAGGATCCAGTCCAGGAACCCGCATTGCATTTAGATGTCATGCCTCTTTAATCCTCCAATCTAGGACAGTCCCTCAGTCTTTCTGACCTTGACACTCTAGAAGAGTTTTGGCCATTTATTTTGTAGAATATACCTCAGCTTGGGATTGTCTGATGTTTTCTCATGGTTAGATTGAGGTTATGTCTCAATGTGTCATATCAGGGGGCACATGAAGTCAATATTTTATTGTTGGTGATGTCAGTTTTGAGCACTTGGTTAAAGTGCTATCTACAAGGTTTGTCCCTGTAAAGTTACTATTTTTTTCCTTTGCAATTACTAAGTATCTTGTGGGAGATATTTTCAGACTATGCAAATATCCTTTTTTCATCATACTTTCATCCATGCATTTTAACATCCATCAGTGGTTCTTGCCTGCAACAGTTATTACTGTGGTGTTTGCCAAATGGTCATTCTCCATTTCCATCATTCCTTCTACATTTATTAATTGAACTCTACTGTAAGGAAGATCGGTCCCTTTTCCCCCAGAGTGAGGGTCATGATTTTTATTTTTTTAATTATTTATTTAATTTATTTTTGGCTGCATTGGGTCTTCGTTGCTGTGCGTGGGCTTTCTCTAGTGGTATTGAGCGGGGGCTACTCTTCGTTGTGGTATGCAGGCTTCTCATTGAGGTGGCTTCTCTTGTTGCAGAGCACTGGCTCTAGGTGCGTGGGCTTCAGTAGTTGTGCTGCGTGGGCTCAGTAGTTGTGGCTCATGGGCTCTAGAGTGCAGGCTCAGTAGCTGTGGCACACGGGCTCAGTAGTTGTGGCTCACAGGCTCTAGAGCGCAGGCTCAGTAGTTGTGGCACACGGGCTTAGTTGCTCCACGGCACGTGGGATTTTCCCGGACCAGGGCTTGAACCTGTGTCCCCTGCATTGGCAGGCGGGTTCTTAACCACTGCGCCACCAGGGAAGCCCCAGGATCATGATTTTTAAATAGGAAAGCTGCCCTGTGGGAATTATATCTGAGTAGTGAATAGGAATTGATGCAGGAGGGAACTGAGGGAACCACTGTATAATGGGGAATATAACCAGTCCGGCTGAATATTGTGTCAGAAAGCAGAGGCCATAGAAATTTGCCACAAAGACATTTAGAGTTATAAATTGAAAGCATGATTGTTTAAAAATGAGGGCAATTGTTATGAAAGCAAGTAGTAAAAGGTAAATGTACAAATGTAATGAGCAAACTTGATTGAATACTAGTTTGAAAAAGAAAAAGGACTACAAAAGATAATTGGGGGGACAAATAGATTGGATTTTAGATGATACTGAAGAATAGTACATTCTCATAGTGTGCTGATGGTTCGTAGGAGACATATGCTAAAGTTGAAGTATTTAAGGATGAGGTGTCAAAATATTGAAACTCACCTTCAAATGATTCAGCAAAACATATGTATGTAGGTAGATAGATAAAAAGAGATAGATACAGCAGACATGTGGCAAAATGTCAACCTAGGTGATAGGTTTAGAGGTCTTCAACTTTTCTGAATGTATGAAATTCTTAGTAATAAAGATTTGGGAGGAAGAACTAATGCCAATAGGAAAAAATTAGGTAATATTTTTAAGGACCTTCCTCAAGCCCAGTGATAATTGTACTCTAAGGATTATAAAGCACAGATGTTAGAAATCGTCACATTGGCCTATTGGAGTAATGAGGGATGTCACAGGGTATAGCAAGTACAGTGGTTTAGGCTGTAAGTAATGACAAATCCAACTCAATTGGCTTCTGCAAGGAGGGAGTTTATTGGGACATCCAGATGTAGGGAAGCCTTCAGGGCTTCAGACTTCAGCACAGTGGCTCTGTCTCCATTTCTCCGCGTTTTCCTCAGCTATGCCCTCCTCTGTCGGTCAGCTTTATCCCCAGACTGGCTTCCTTTGCCTCCACAAAGTGGCTACAATAGTTCTAGGCTTTACCTTTGACTCTCACTATATCCAGAAGGAGAAAGAAGATCATTTCTGGTAGCTTGCTCCTAAGGGCAGGGACCCTTCTTTCCCGGAAACCCCAGTTAAGTGTCTGTCTGCCCCCCTCTCTCCGCCCCACAATAGTAGCCTTCACTGAGTCACATGGGTCAATCCCTATGGCTACGGGAGTGCCCTGTGCTGATTGGCTTAGGCCTGGGTTCCTGAAGCAATCACTGGCATGAGGAATGGCATTACACCCCTGTGTGAGGAATGAGATGTACCCAAGATGTACAGGGCTCTGTGAGAAGGGGAAAGGGAAATGGATTCTGGGTAGGCATCTACAATATTCATTATATAGGGAAAAACATCTTTCACAAAATGGCAAGATGGCCAGGTGAAGAGGGCAGGTTGCTATAGGTATGGTCGAGCAGATACAAATCAGAAATTAGGATTCTCAAAGGAGAATTTAAGGGGGAGTACCTGGCAGGAAACCCCTGATCTAATAACAGATTTGCTGAAGCACATCAGAGAGCCCTTCAGTTACAGAATCAGTGACACAATGAAAAAGGTTCCCCGAGTAACAAAAAGTTAAAAAAGATAGAACAAAACAATCGAGTAAAAATAGATTAAATGATTTTCTTTGATCTTGACTTATGAAGATTTCAACCCCCATGTGGTTTTCAAAAGGAGGAAGCCCCAGGTACTGGATCAAACAGCGGTAAACTCACAGAATGCACAGGATGTCCCTGACCAGCTTCTCAGCTCGGCCGCACCTCAGAATCACCCATAGAGTATGGTCCACACCCACAGCAGCTGTGCCTCAGGAGTTCTGTGGTGAACTCAGAGTACTGGTAATTTCTAAAAAGCTCCCCAGGTGATTCTGATATGCAGCCGGTGTTGAAAACCACTGCTATCTCATGAATAAGCTAATCAGAGATAGTTCATCAAACTGGCTGAATTTTGATGGGATGCAGGGGTGAAATTAAAGAACCATCAGCGTCAATGTAAGTGGCTCTCTGTGACCTTGACTACTGCCTGAGTGGCTGCTTTTCACCAGAAGAGTGTTGCTGGATCCCTAGAGGCTAAAGACTGGGGGGTAGGAAGTGGGGAGCCTTCTGGTCATAACCCACCAGCATGGTCACTGTAAATGGCACGTGAGCTTGCTATTCGTTGAAATATGCGTGTGAAAAAAGGAAATCATTGGATTAACATATTTATTGATAAATAATTTTTAAAATCTTTTTTTAAAACTCCATATTTAAGAGCATTTTAAAAATTGATTCACCATGTATATAGTATTGTGGGGGGTGGGGTTGGTGCGGGGGCAGGTGAAGGTATGTTTAACCATGTTTAGAAAATGGAACAGAAATAGGAAATGCTAAAGGATAAGAAAAACTTGGGTATTGACTGAATGGAGATGCATAAACTTTGGAGTCTCCCAGACACTGGTGTACTGGAATTTGTATGTTATCAAACAGGAAGATTCCAGGGAACCCTCCAGAGTGAACTCCTTTGAGTAGGGAAATAAGGCCATAGAGATAAACCAAGAGAGGGGAAACCAAGGACCCAAAGAAAACTGGTGGATGCATTTCCATGAGGGCAAGGTGCCAGACAGCCCTCCATAGCCGCAAATGCAGGACCTATGGATAGGGAAGGCCAACTGCAGTACACCATTTACATAAGAATCTTGAGCATCCATGGATTTTGGTATCCGTGGTGGTCCTGGAACCAGTCCCCCCAAAATACCAAGGACGATTGTGTAGTCATAGGCCAAGGATGTCTGCGTGCTTAGTTTCTATCCAGACAAGGAGCCAGGGAATTCTTGGAGACTGTTCCCAAAAGCAGCTACTGTGGCAACCAGGACCAGAAGGAGCTGTGTTGTCAGAAAGAGGGTCCAGCAGGAAAGGTGAACACTGATGGCCCTGCAACCAGAACGCTTACCCATCCTCCGTGACACTCAGTGTCACCTGGTCACTACCCCTTGAAGGGTGATACATGAAACCCAGAGGAAGGCCAAGAAATGCAGCTCTTGGAAAACAAAGGCAAAATCTTGTCTCAGAATACACGAACGGGGAGTTCCCTGGTGGTCTAGTGGTTAGGATTCGGCACTTTCACTGCCATGGCCTGGGTTCAGTCCCTGGTCAGGGAACTGAGATCCCGCAAGCCGCATGGTGCGGCCAAAAAAAAGAAAAGAATACACGAATGAAGGGAGGCTGGCCAGGCAGTTTTAGAAGTCGTTTTGTAATAGATAGCTAGTGGGAAGCAGCCGCATAGCCCAGGGAGATCAGCCTGGTGCTTTGTGACCACCTAGAGGGGTGGGATAGGGAGGGTGGGAGGGAGGGAGACGCAAGAGGGAAGAGATATGGGAACATATGTATATGTATAACTGATTCACTTTGTTATAAAGCAGAAACTAACACACCATTGTAAAGCAATTATACTCCAATAAAGATGTTAAAAAAAAAAGTCATTTTGTAAACTTGTGGGAATAGTCAGTCTTCCAAGAATGAGAATTCTGGCGTACCTCTGGAAGTAAGGAGGTGGAAGGCAATCTTGGCGTCACCAAGGCTTTGGGTGAACGTTGCTGTGTCCTTCCAGAGCCCAGTGGGACCCAGGCAGAGAGAAGCCCAGAGCCTGGGAGGCCAAGGGGCTAATTCAGAGCCTCTCAGAATGAGCAGGGTTTGGAGCAAGAAGGAAAAAAGGATCTTTAAAAGAGGGACAAAGCAAGTGTGAGTTAGGGCCCAATTTGGGTTAGGGCCAACACTGAGTGCTTCTTTTAGAACCGTCTCCTGAGTTTACCCTTGTTGCTGAGCCCTAGTTTATCTTGAATAACATCAACGACAACAATAAACAATAGTTACTTCTTCTTGAGCATTTACTCTATTCTAGGTTAATGCAACCTATTTTATATGCACTACTCATTTCATCCTCACAACAGCTCTACTGTTCCTCCTTTTCATGCCAAAAAACTGAAGTTTCAAAAAGGTAAGTTGCTTCTCTGAGGTCACACAGCCCAAAAGTGGGAGAATTGGGATTCAAAGCCAGATCTGCCTGGATCCAGAGTTACCTTAAAGCCACAAGTCCTGGGGCTCCCGGTCAGCTTCTAAATTGCCCTCTCTCCCCTCCTAGCAAGTTTGCCCTGGAAACCTTCCTGAAAAGACATGATGATGTTTGTGAAAGTGCCTAAGCCTATGCCTGAAATAATACGTTTTTATTTATTTAAACCATACTCTTCTGAAAACCTACTTGGGTGGCTTAACAAAGATGCATAGCATCCACCAGGCACACAGCAGGTGCTCAAAAAAGGTTCGTTTGGTTGGGATCTGCTCCACGGTGAGGCTGGTGGGTGAGAGCATTGGGGGAGCAACCAGGCTGCAGACATCAAGGAGCAGAGCTGCACGTGGAGAAAGGTGACACATGGGAGAGAGGGAGAAAAGTACCCCTGGGCTCTCTCTCACCTGTTGTACCAAATTCCTGGGTGTTGAGCGATGTGGCTGCAGCCAAGAATTCTGCTCTCTGGCCTAGTCAAATAGGAGGGGTTGCCTAGAGCCCCATGGATTCTACTCCATGGATGAATCTTTGAGTCTTTTCTGTACAATAAAATCGGGTTCAGGACTCCTCATTTGCTAATAGCTATGTGACAAAATTGTAACTTACCTTTATCTGTAAAATGTTAATAAACCTTTGATCTACAAATGCCCTATTTTTATAAGGTCAGTCCCACCAAGAAAGTAGGAACATTGAAGGTGGAGTGGGGAATGTTTTCCAAAGGGGAAAATTATAAATACTTGAAAAACTTTCCTAAAGAAATTTCTTTTTTGTACTTACAGCCTGATCTATTGTTCTAAGCACTTTCTCCGAACAAGCATTCATCAGGGATATTTTTTCTTTTGTCCTTAGTGGAAAAGGCTGCTATCCGACCAGCTAAAAGCATGGACTCGCTGTGCTCAGTGCCCGTGGAAGGTGAGAGTTTTCAGCTGGATTTGGAACTGAGGATTACAACTGGGAGACTGGCACTCCCACACCAGACTTGCCTTCCTAAACCGCAGACCCTACTCAGCTCCAGTCATGGCCACACACAATCCCCCAGGCCCAGATCCCTCCCTGACCTTCCGGAACTCAAGGGGCACACACAGCCCTTGCACTAACCTCCCCTACTCCACGAGGCCTCTTTCTCCAGCCTGTCTCCCCACAGCTGGAGACAGCAGCCTCCTTGCATTCAATCCTGAGCCAGGTAAAAGGTCAACACCTGAAAACTAAGGCAGAAGAGGCTCCCCCTGGGGCATAAAGAAGAGTTTTGAATTTAGGTGTTTCTGTAGGCATTAGCTTCATTGTGTTTGTCTAGTCATGATTTTGAGTTGGTAGAGTCATTCATTCCTTCATTCATCAATAAACACTGACAGGCACTAGCCTGGCACGTAGCTGGTCATTGCTGGTTGGAGCAGATGTACATACAGTTGCATGCCAGGTGACACCCATCACCAAAGCGGCACCTCACCATGTTAGTTCTTACAGCTCCAGCCTTAAGGGCTGACTTGCCTGTAGCCCTTGCTTCTGCTTTTGTTAAGCAGCCAACAAGCACTGCTACAACTGGCAAGACACAGGGCTTCCCTAGCAGCAGACTGTTTAAACTCCCCCATGATTGTACCATGACTTTCGAATCCCTTTAATACAAGGTATGTTGCTCTTTGATAAATGAGGCAGCCTGAAACAAAACAGAAAATCTTTAGAACAACTTTCAAAAAATAATACTAAACTTGTAAAATATTCAATGAGATCTTTTTAAGCTGGCTCAATCCTTTTAGCATTTTCTCACCTTTATATTCATCAATTTGCTTGGTTTTGAAACCTCTTGGGTGCAGTTCTTGCCCAGTTTGGCAGGATTTAATATTTCAAAAGCTAAAAAACAAAACAAAACAAAAAAGACACCAAAAGCTAGGTCACCACTTCCGTGGGCATTGGGCAGGTTATCTAACCTCTTAAGTCTCGGTTTCCTCATGTGTTAAGGGAGATGATTACACTTCTCCTACAGAGTGGTTCCTAAGAATTTTAAACCTAATGTTACCTAAGATGTAGCACTTAGTGCCTAGTTGGGAATTATTTTCCAGATCCCTGGCAATTCAGTTGTTGTCTCCCAGCTTATTTATTTCACACACAGATTTTTTCTCTTCTTTGCCTTCACTTCTAAGTCATTCAGGAACTCACTCCTCACAACTGTGCTTTCTGACATTTAGTTAATTTACATTTCTAGTTTCTCATCCTCTGAATCAGCAGGAGGAAGCCTGGGAAAAGGCGAAAAGGTCTAGCTGAGAACAGCATTTGTTTCCTTGCTGGGAAATCAAACCCCTGTTTGGGTCCATCTGCCAGAGAAGACTTAAAACAATAAGTTTTAAAGTTTTAAAATGAAACAAGATTCTGTTATTTTGGCCTTTTTATCTTCATTCTGAGCAAACATCATTCTGTCATCTCCCACCTTCTTTTTATTTTTTCATGATCTACATTTAATGCTTGGTGGATGACTGCTCTGTTAGCAATTTCAGCAGTGTCTTTCTTTTGGAAACTGCTCTACCTGCAAAGTTTAAAACAGATACATATGATACAACAAAATGGTTCTATCAGGGCATTATGACAAGATTCTGTGCACATAAGGAGATGTTTCCTCTTGTCAACCAAATGTTACGTACCTGTCTTTATTAGGATAGCTATGCCCTTATTATAGTGCTATGCCTTTCCAATATTCAAGTGTTGTGTGCCTGCCCTTACTGGAAGGCTAATCAGTGATGTGTGTACTCAGGCTGCTGACCACGTTTGTTTGCTTTTTCACAAGGGAAAAAAACCAAAGGAAATTTCAATCGAACAGTCACCACTGGTGGATTTTTCATTCCAGCAGCGAAAATGCACTCGACTAGCACTGGCAGCTCATGTGACCTCAGCAAGCAAGAGGGCGAATGGGGCCAGGAGGGGATGCCGGCAGGGGCCGAGGGGGGCTTTGACGTGAGCAGTGACCGAAGCCAGCTGCAGGGCGCTCAGGCCCGGGCCCCACCTGAGCAGCTGAAGGTGTTCCGACCCATCGAGGATCCCGAGAGCGAGCAAACAGCCCCGAAGATGCTGGGTATGTTCTACACCTCAAACGACAGCCCCAGCAAATCTGTCTTTACCAGCAGCCTCTTCCAGATGGAGCCCTCTCCCCGTCACCAGCGCAAGGCCCTGAACATCTCCAAGCCCTTTGCTGTGTCCGTGCCACTCCGCGTGTCAGCCGTCATCAGCACCAACAGCACCCCATGCAGAACCCCCCCAAAGGAGCTACAGTCTCTTTCCAGCCTGGAAGAGTTTTCTTTCCAGGGCTCAGAGAGTGGAGATTGGCCTGAAGAGAAGCCACTGGGAGTTGAGACTTCTACAGGTAAAGTAAGGGAGAGGGTCTCTTTCCATTGCAAGAGACGAAAAACCAGACTTAAACAGAGTTTGCAAGGCAATGTAGTGAAGTGATTAAGACTGCGGGCTCTGGAGCCCGACTGCCTGGTACAAGTATAGCCTCAGCCATTTTGCTGTACAATCTTCAGCAAGTTAACATAACCACTCCATGCTTCAGCTTCTTGATCTGTACAATAGGGATAATGTTAGTATTAAGTTGTGAATATTAAATTAGTTAATAGATGTAAAGCTATCAGAACAGGGTCTAATACACAGCAAGTACTCAGTAAATGTAAGGCAGGAGGGAAAGCTCACGGAATGGAATGCAGAGCTGGAACTGGGGATTCAACTCTTCCAGACACAATCCACCCATCCCACATTTCTACCTCACATCTGCAGAGAACATGGCTAGTGGCCCTAGCGGTGAGAAAGAGCATCCTCCTCCCAATTTCCTTTAAAAAAAAACACAGGGAGGACTCTGTGTTTGGGCCTGCTTGGGTCACATGCCCAGCCTTGGACCAGTCACTGTTGCCAGACTGATAGGATTCTAAGATTGGCCAAGCGAGAGTCCCTGGGCCGTCTCTGGAGTGAGAACCAACAACCAACTGGGAGCCACACAAAAGGGAAGTAATGAGAACCTCAGAGGAAAGGATGACTGAGAGACAAACCAATAAATGCTCATCGTGGTTTAAGAATATTTCTATTTCAATTAATATTAGCTAAAGCCACGCACCTATAGTCACCTAATCTACGACAAAGGAGGCAAGAATATACAATGGAGAAAGACAGTCTCTTCAGGAAGTGGTGCTGGGAAAACTAGACAGCTACATGTAAAAAAGAATGAAATTAGAACACTCCCTAACACCATACACAAAAATAAAAATATAAGCTAGCTTTTTCAGATCACCTATCGTGGTGTCAGGCACTGTCCTAAGTGTTCTACATGTATTATTGCATTTCTTCTCACCACAACTCCATGAGGTATAGGTAGTTACTATTACCCCCATTTGCTTAGAGAGGAATCTGTTAACTTGCCCGAGGACTCATAGCAAGGAAGTGTAAAAGCCAGGATTTTAATCCAGATTTTTAAAAATCCATGCTTTTAAGCATTCTGCCATGATCCCTCATGTGTTTGCTATGGGCTGTAGAGTTAAAACGATTGTTAAGATGCAATCCCTTCCGCCAGCAAGCTCCAAACTAGGAAGGGAAACTGAAACTCTGCACCCACCTGCAGCACAGGGTCAGCTTGTGGAAGTAGCCTAACACCCACCTTGGGCTTTTTTTTTTTTTTTTTTTTTTTAAAGTATAGTTGATTTACAATGTTATGTTAATTTCTGCTGTACAGCAAAGTGATTCAGTTATACACATATATATACACACACATTCTTTTTTTATATTCTTTTCCATTTGGTTTATCATAGGAAATTGAATATAGTTCTCTGTGCTATACAGTAGGCCCTTGTTGTTATCCATCCTATATATCATAGCTTACATCTACTAAACCTAAGCTCCCGCTCCATCCCTCCCCCAACCCCTCCTCCTTGGCCACCCCAAGTCTGTTCTCTGTGTCTGTGAGTCTGTTTCTGTTTTGTAGATAAGTTCATTTGTGTCATATTTTAGATTCCACATATAAGTGATATCATATGGTATTTGTGTTTCTCTTTCTAACTTCCTTCACTTAGTATGACAATCTCTAGTTGCATCCATGTTGCTGCAAATGGCATTATTTTGTATTTTTTTATGGCCGAGTAGTATTCCATTGTATATATGTACCAAATCTTCTTTATCCATTCATCTGTCGATGGACATTTAGGTTGTTTCCATGTCTTGGCTATTGTAAATAGTGCTGCTATGAACGTAGGGGTGCGTGTATCTTTTTGAATTAGAGTTTTGTCTGGATATGTGCTCCTTTGGGCTTTTTGAATGAGGGAGAGTGTAAGTACCCAAAGTATCATGAAAGGGGTGTTCAGAAAGGACTTCAGTGGCATCTAAAAGAAGCAGCCCTCTCAGGAGGATTCCAGGAACACTTCTCAGAAGTGGTGACATTTGGGCCTTCATAAATGGGTAGGACTTCCAAATGCAGAAAAGATGGAAAAGGGCATTATGGGCTGAGAGGTGCTGACTGTTTTGAGAAGTGTATAGATTTTGGACCCCAGCTGGGCAGATTCAGATCCGAGCTTCACCACTTTGGGGCAGTGTGACAGCTGGTTGATATCTCTGAGCCTGTTTCTCTTCTGCAAAGCAGGGATGGCTCCTATCTCAAGGGCTGGGATGAGGTCCGCATGGGAAAATATTCATGAAGTGCCTGCTCAGGGTGTGGCCCTCAGAAGATGCTCAGTAAACATCAGTCCCTTTCCCCTCCCCCTTCCCTTCAGGATGGGGCACAAGAGGACCAAAAACGTAGGGGATTTAAGTGATGCCCTGTCTGGAGAATGCTCCATGGGCTGCTGTGGGTGGAACAGAGTGAGGGTTAGAAGAGGAAGTGCAGCCTTTGAGGAAAAAAGTGTTTCCAAAGGCTTTTATGTGATTGGCTGTCCTTTCCAAAAGAGAGGGTCCCCAGGCCCCAAGGGGTCTTTGGCAGACAGTGTTACTTTTTTCCCCTCTCTCCTTCCTTCTCTCTGTAATTCAGAATACCCAGTCTGTATCAAACTGGTCTTGGAAAGACACTGATGGAGACTCCGGTCTGCTTCCCTGACTGTGATTAGTGGCAGCCAGGGCAGAACAAGGGACCCTGTAGGAGGCAGTCTTGTGGATCTAGGACCAATGGCCAGAGGGAGATGCCAAAAGTTTCAGCGACAGCGGAGGGCCCCTCACCTTTCTCTCTGATGGAATTAGGTTCACGTAGGTTACTTATCTTCTTCCATAATTATTCCAAATGAAGAACTTCACCTTCCTTAATAAATTATTTTTTCTTTCTTTTGTACGGTAGCAATAGATAAAAGAAATAGAATTAAAGACAATTTTCCAGGTTACCTGATTTAAATTTTTAGTCACTCTGCTCAAACCTGTTCTTCTACTTTTGGCCAAACTAGGCAAAATTCCAGTGCAACCCAAAAAGTAAGAGATACCAAGTAAGTATTGCATTATAACTAAAGTGTTGAAAGTTAGATCATTGATCGCTTTGAATGAAAAAAAAAAAAGGATTATTCAATTAATCATAATAATTAATTGTCTGACTTCTATGTGATTCAAGACTACGTCTTGGTAACCTCCATCCTTGGGTTGGGGGTTGGGGGGGAAAGGACCACAAACTGGATCCTTCTGAAAGGGCTGACTTACAAGCTACAAATAACACTCTCTGGGTCCCCTTCTAGAAATGCTTATTAGAGGGAGGTCAGAGTAACCATATATATTTAAGGAGGCCTGATCAATCAAACTCCAGAATTACCCTAAGAGATATTAGGAGTTGCCTCATTCTTCTTCTGAGGAATGTACAAAAGAATTCTTTTAAATAGTTATATTTTAGTGCATCTGAAACAGGAGTCTACCCACAAAAATATGTTTTGCCTATCTCATAAACCCATGGTTCTGTTAGTTAAGGTACAGGCCAAGCTGCTGTCACATAGAGAACAAAACACAGTGGCTCAAACAAGATGGGAGTTGATTTCTATCTTGCATACCAGAGGTAGGTCGATGCGCTCGGGGAGATGCTCTGGGGTCCCAGGTTCCTTCAGTCGTCCCCAGGGGTGTTGTTCCTGCCTGTGTGGTCAAAGTGAGCGCAACAACCCCCCACCACCACATTCCTGCCTGTGGGAAGGGGGTCAGGGGAGGCACCCAAGCAGCTTCCACTTAAGGGTGGACCCAGAGGTTGCACCCATCACTTCCACCTCCATCCCATCTGCCAAAACTCACATGGCCATGCTGACCTTCAAGGGAGGCTGAGAAGCATCGCTGGCTGGATGGCCAGGTACCTAGCGAAACCTGAGCGTCAGGGAAGGTTCTATTTCAAAATGAGGAAGAGAATGGATAATAGGGGACATTAGGAGTCTCTGTCTCCATGGTCACCCACTTCATGCATAAAGCATCCCATGCTGGGAATTTGACAATGCCCTTCCCTTCTGAGCTACAGAGACTCTTTTATAGCTTACAAGTATCCAGCAACTATATATATTGGACTCCTAGGCCCTTAGAAGATAGTTTCTAGACATAGATGCTGCCTCTGTCCTGAGGAACTTAGCCCAGGGATGGGCACCACATACAAGTGAAAAGAAAATGGTAACCTGATGGCTTGGCACCGCACAGGTTATTACAGTGAGTGCTGCAGGAAGTGGAGGGAAGGAGAGCGTGGTCTGGGGAGGCTCCAAAAGAGGTGTTATTAGGTTAGCGTCTTGAAGACTGGGTTAGAGTCGAGTCTCAGAGAGGACCAGAGCAGGGGAGTATAAGGCCTGTCAGGGGTAGCAGGTCTGCTCAGTGTCACGCAGGGGAGTGGAGAAGAGGGGATGTGTGGCTGAGCCAGAGTGAGGAGGGCTTTGAGCAGGACAGTGAGTGATCTGAACAAGCTCACATGTCATGCAGACCCTTCCTCCACTCCTCACTTTAAGAGTCCACAGTCAATGAATGGAAGACCCTGAGCTTTACAAAAAGAGACACTGGCAAACATCCAACTAAGAGTTCTTAGTAAAATGGGGAAAAAATATTAAAAAAAAAAAATCACTGACGCATTACCCTTTTACCCAGAAGTTTCACTTCCAAGAATTTATTCTAAATAAATAGCTGCACAAGTACAAAATGTGTATGCACATCACGGCATTATTTGTAATAGCAAAAAACAGGAAACAATCCAAATGTCCACCTTTAGGAGATGGACTGAATAACTAAGGTGCATCACTCACAGTTGAGTCCCATGGAGTCCACAGTTTTGTGGGCCCGGCACCATTTCCTCAAACTCTTGTTCATCTGCGGGGGACAGTTTCTTTGCACACAGAAGGCATTGTATCTGAAGTGTCTGCCTTGTGTTTCTTGTTTTCTGCCTCGGGGCTTTTTCTGAAGGGAGGAACTCACCCAACCCTTGCTCAGGAAAGCCCAGAAGTGCATGGAGAGTTAACGGAGGCACCTCTCACCCAATAGGAGATGGGAGTCAGGGGATTCATGCCCCAGCCGTTCCACCCTTTGGTGGAATAACTATGGGGCACATTCCTCGTGGTTCTTCAGAGGGTCACCAGGAACTGAGTTCTGGTTGCTCACTGTGGTAACCACTTACTGATTTTTCCTCCATCACTGTCTCACCTCCTCACTCCTGCTTCCTTGGACCACCTTTCAAATAAGCGACCTGCTGCCAGGACCTTGGCTCAGGCTCTACCTTGAGGGGAACTCAAACTAGCCCACATCCTAAAGAACAGTTAACCTACTTATATTACTAATATGGCATAGATTTCAAGATATGTTCTTAAGTGAAAAAAATGCAAAACATGGAATAGTATAAATCACAGGCTATAATTTGTGTAATAAAGGTGGGGAATAAAAAATATATGGTAAAAGTATCTGCTTATATATGCAAAGATGAACTATGGCAGAATAAACCAGAAACTAGTAAAACTGGTTGTCCATAGGAGACAGTGGGGGTGTGGAACAGAATGGAAGCAACAGGGATGAAAGCAAAACTTTTCTGAGACCGCTTTTTTATATAATTTTAACTTTTCAACTCTGTAGTTGTTTTACATATTCAAAAATTAAGTTAGATTTCAAAAAACAAGCCTGCTAAGTGATGGGCAGAGGAAAATAGCACTTTGTCAGTTCTGAAGCATTATTAGTTCTGACATCAGGATGCTACTACTGGGTCTGATTTTAAAGCCAGCACTGTGGTCAGAGGCCTTAAGTCACCAGCATAACTAGTGGCAATGAGAAGAGTTCATTCTCAATCAGTAAACTTTTCTGAGCTTCTGCTGTATGTCTGACACTGTACTAAGTGCTTTGCCTCTCTAATCTACTTTATCCTCACAACAGCCCTGTAATATATTATTATATATTATTATGCCATTGTATCAAGGTTACAAGATTCACTGAGAAACTAGCATTTGAACTCAGGTTTCGTTAATTCCAATGTAAACAATAATAATATCACTGAGGATCTGCTATGTAACAAGCACTGTGCTAAGTACTGAGTCTGTAATCCTACATTGTGGAAACAGCCTTACACGGTGAAATAGGACCTTCTTCAGGCAAGGCAGTGGGGGCCAAACATGAAGCCTGCCTCCCTCTCTAGTGTCTTGGTAGATGTTTAAGATCAGAGCTTAATCACTTTAGATATAAAGATATATCCAAACTGATGTGCAGATCACCCCTGGGAAGAGTCACACGGGAAGCTGCAATCATAATCATAATACATCTTTGTAGCTTGGTGTAGATCACAGGTTTCTGTGACCTTAGGCAACAGGCAAAAGATTGGATTAGCGCCGGCTTTCTCAACCTCAACACTATTGACATTTTGGACTAGGTAATCCTTGTGGGGGGCGGTCTTATGCTTTGTAGCATATTTAGAAGCATTCCTGGCTTCTACCCGCTAGATGCTGGTAGCCACTCCCCCCCACCCGGTTGTGAGGACCAAAAGTGTCTCCAGACATTGCCAAATGTCCCCTGGAGAGGGGAGGGGCAAATGGTTGCCAGTTGAAAACCACTGGACTAGATGATCTTCGAGGTCCCTCCCATCTCCAACAGTCTGAGACTCTGGGATCAGAGGACAGATCATTGGTAGGAGGAAAGGGTAAAGAATGTGAGGGAGCAGTGAGCTGGGAGAATTCCCTCCATCCATGTGACACAGAACTAGTCCGGGACAAAGACTGTGCGGGGAATGGCCTCTCTTGAATGGAGTCTCCTTCCACTGATAACTCTCATCCTCATTGCAGCATCTGTACCTAAGAAGGCAGCTCTTGAGAATATTAAGCCAGGACCAGATGCAGTGAGAGCGCTGGAATGCAGCAAAGGCCTTCCCCAGGAGCCAGGCGGCCAACTGGAGAAGAAAACCTCAGAACACTCCCTAGGCTCTCGACATTCAAGTGAATTAGAGAAGAAGTTGGATGCAGAGAAGGCGGTGGAGGAGGGTGGAGAGACTGGCCAGGTGGAATCCAGCGCTCTGCAGGAGAGCCCTGGGGCCAGAGGTGAAGCAGTGTTTCTCCATGAGATGGTAAGGTGGACTCACTGCCTGGTCCAGCCAGTAGGGTCCTCTTTTTCCCAGGGGCTCTTGGTACACTTTAAAGTTTTTTGTTGCTGTTGTTTGTTTGAAGAACCAGTTTCTGCCAAAGGGACTTTACGGCACAGCCTTCTAAGCCTTCTAATCAGGTCTGGGATATTTTTGCAGTGAACTTGTCAGGGATCCTATGGTGATACGAAGTAACCATCCAGCTCAGATTCCCTAGGACCGACTGAACTCTATATTTCTGACCTGAAGTCACCATAAACCAGTAACATGTCCTGGGAATGTAATGACATTCAATACCAGAAGCAGCGCAAAACCTGCTTCTCGTGTCCTGGTCCCAAACGTGATGACCATTCATGGGGGCCAGCTCTCTTCTTCCAGACATCCTGGATGGACAGTTGTCTATGTTTATTTGTAAAAATCTTCTGTAAGATTTTCAGGATCTATTCCTTCCTCCTATGGCTCTGGAGAACTTAAAACATGATGCCAGAGCATACTAAACCTTTTCCACTTTTTTTTTTTTTTTTTGCCGTACACAGGCCTCTCACTGCTGTGGCCTCTCCCATTTGCGGAGCACAGGCTCCAGACGCGCAGGCTCAGCGGCCATGGCTCACGGGCCCAGCCGCTCCACGGCATGTGGGATCTTCCCGGACCGGGGCACGAACCCGTGTCCCCTGCATCGGCAGGCAGGCTCTCAACCACTGTGCCACCAGGGAAGCCCCCTTTTCCACTTTTTAGAGGTGGGATTCTCCGAGGTCTTTTGAGAGGGGGATATTCTTGCTCAAGATGAAGTCGTGAGGAGGTTTTCCAGGGACATCCAGGGAGGAGCCTTGCATTTGAGAAATAGCTCTGTGACCTGGAGGAGTGTGCCAAAGGGGAAAAGAAAACACTTTGCCTTTTAACTTGCTTCCAGGAACTTGGTTTCTGGGATGCGCACAAAAGCCTTGTGGACTGGGAGTTAGGGCAGTGCAGGCACACCACAGTGGCCTCCGGAGGGCTGAATAAGGGTTTCTGTAAGGTGTGTTTGTATTTATAGAAGGAGAAGGTTGCAAAGAGTATTATGGGGATTGAATTTGGGAAGGGATCAAGTATGAATGACATTGCTTTGAGAAGCTGATGAAGTTAATGCTAGAAGGAGAACCAGGCTGGATTCATGGAAACAAGTAAAAGCGGCAATTCATTCATTCATTTAAAACCATGTGTTAAACGCCTATTTTATGCCAGACACTCTGCTGAGCACTGGGATCACTGCAGTGTACAAGACGGTCACCATCACTGTCTTCTTGGAGCTGACAGCTTAGTAGGTGAAAGGTCATTAACCAAGTCTTTTCTAGGGTGATATGGAAGTATGAGTTCTGTGGGAGCATATAACAGGGGGATGCAACCTAGTCAGAGGGAGGAGGGGGGCTCACAAGGGTCAGGGAGGGCTTCTCTGAAGAATAGGTATTTAGATTGAGAACTTAGCTAGGAGAAAGGGGTAGGGAGCAGAGTAGGAAGGGAGAGACTCTCAGGCAGAAAGCGTAAGATGTGCCAGGAATTTGAAATGGGAAAAGAGCACGAAACATTCAAGGAACAAGAACGAGGCTGGAGAACGGGAACGTGGACTAGAGCAAGTGAGGCTCAGAGCAAAGCAGGAGCCACGTCAGGCAGGGTTGCTTGGAAGGGATTTGGAGCTTAACCTAAGGGCAAAGGAAACTCTTCTGATTTGCTCTTTTAAAGGTCACTCTATTCTGTGAGGAGAATGGCTTGGAGAAGGGCAAGACAGGAGGCAGGGATGGCAATTAGAAGGCTAGTCTGTGGCAGACCAGGTGAGAAAAGATGGTGGCTTAGACTAGAGTGGGGGAACCGGGGATAGAAATGGAAGGCTTTCAGAGCTATTTGGAAGGTCGAGTGAATAGGACTTGGTGAAGGATTTGGTGAAGGAGTGAGGGAGAAGGAAATATCAAGGACAACCCATGAGTTTCTGATCTGAGCAAAACATGCACTATGGTCCACTTAACTGAAGTGGCAGACTGGGGGTGGAGGGGAGTTTAGATGTTCACTTATTCATTTAAATGTATTGTTTCTTAGTAAGAGATCAATAATGTAGGAGCTGCAGAGAGTAAAGAGATGCCTCTGACCTGAAGGAGGGCACAGTCTAGTAGGCAAAATAGAAATGTACACAGATAAATGCAGTATAGTAGAATTCGATCTCAAAAATACCCCTGCCTTCTGACCAAGTAATCCTACTCCTGGAAAGTTATCAGAAGGAAATAAAAGAAAACAATGAACCCACTTAAATTCACAGACCCCTTGTTGAGCAGTTACTCACAGTATACCAGGCATCATTTGGCCTTGAGGAATCAAAGATGGAAGAACACAGCTCCTGATCGAGGAACTCACAGTCCATTGGGAAAGATAAGACAAGCGTCCAATTAACTGTATTGTGAAATGACATGTGATCAGAGCCAGGGGAGAAGTGATGTCAGGTGGGTAGCATGTCAGACTTCCCAGAAGGGCCATCCGCCCCTCAGGATAGAAATGCCTCCCCAAACTGCTTCTCCTCGGGACAGAATTAGGCCTTGAGATAAGAAGCAAAAGGAACTGAAATTTGCTCCCCTGGCCCTGACCAGACCTCCCTTCATCCCTTTCCTTTCTGCAGCTGTGGGCTTTGTGTAGGGAAA